AAGTCTAGGGGCCAGGAAAAGGAATTAAACACCATCCTGGTGAAGCAGGTAAAGTTTTCTGGTGAATAAGAGATGAATGGTTGTCCCCTGTACCTATCTAAGAATCTAAATGCAATTAGACATTCATTAGCAAGATAATGTCTTTGTATTTTTGTGGGTACACTTATTTCTTTATTGCTGTTCAACTGATATTAAAATCCTGACCATTAAGTCCTATCTCTGATTCAGCTTCCAGCAGAGTGTGAATATCGCAAAGTCAGAGTTTAATAGAAGGAAGCAATGCCAGCTTATTTCAGCTCATGCTGCTGTTGTTAGTTGCCAGCAAGTCAATTCTGACTCATGGTGACCACATGTGTTGCAAGAGTAAGAACTGCTCCGTAGAGTTCTACTGACTGTAATCTTAACGAAAACAGATCACCAGGCCTTCTCTTCCATGGTACCTCTGGGTGGGTTCAAACCACCAATCTTTAGGTTAGCAGTCAAGAACAAACCATTTATGCCACTGGGAACCCAATTTCAGGTCATATAGACCGGATAGACAGACCACATATAGGGTGTATGTAAATGATAGAAAAAGCAGTACCTAAAATTCCTATAAATATAATTTCCTTGGAAAAATTTCATTTGGAAAAAGTCTGAACTTCGTTTATTTTACAGTCTATGATATTATCTGAATGACTGAATTCAGTTACCAGACCTTTGGTGAAGAAAAATAGGCAAAGGTACGTGGTTGACAACTTGTTGCAGATCTAGCCTATGAGCTCAACTGCAGTTGTCTAAGTGTCTAAGATGTTATTCATGAATATCAAATCTGATGTACATATTTACATGTAAAAATCCTCTAGTGTCTTATAGTTAAATACCTTAAATAGTACCTTCAATAGTAATATTTAAGGCCCATTCCGTACTGGCAGGATTAACTCAATTCAAGGAACGAGTTTAGCGTACGTAATAACTCACACGCAGTAGGCAGGGCCCAAGACCAGGGACTCAGGCAAACCAATCCCCTTCTCACCAGGAATTTCCTCCAGTATTGGTCATCTACAGCATTCGTTCTCCAAACGGCCATCTCCAGACGCCATCATCTTATTGAGGACACATGAAATCCCACGGCCCCCACACTAGATGGCGCTGGCATTCCCCTGGGGTGATTCCGCCTCACTGTGGCACCACTACCCAGAAAGCCTGTAGCAGCGCCAAGCACTCACTTTCTGCAGTCTTTGGGAGATTTCAATTTGCAATTTTTTTACAGAATGTGTGGCCTATCACTTAATGCAGTTAGTGGAAGATAACATTTCAGTGATTACTCAGTGCTGACATTTTATTACTTAATATTAAAATCCCATCAGAAATCCCCTGTCCGATAAACTAAAAATGAGGTTTGAAAACAAAGCACCTGGCAAATCTGATCTGCAGTAATCAAAATGGCATTTTGTCAGATGGGAAATAATTACCAGCCTGATGTGATTTCAATCTGCTGCCATTTTATGAAACGGGATCCATTCGCTCCCTATAGAGATGATCAGGCTCGATGCTCTTCAGCTAGATACCTAATTTCACCTATTCTCATGAGATTCTTCTATTATGCAAACTAGTGGTAAAGCCATTACATGCTCCAAAAGATGAAGACTAGAATTTTCCATTCAGAGACGTGTCATTGTCACCTCTTAAAATGTAAATTCTTGCCAGACATTAAGGTGTCTTTTTCATTTCACACAATGTCACCTAATGATCTGAGGAAGCACCCTCTCAGACTGCAATGCTATCTCCCAAGTTCTCTGAGGGGGCCCTGACAGAACTCCAAGGCTCTACCCCAGGAGACTGCTCAATAAATGGAGCTATCGTAGGATGGAGCACGAGTTTCTTCAGGATTTTCGAGGCTACTGGATAATTTGCTGTGGCCAGTAGTCAAGCCAGACCATAGGCTATTACCAAGTTAAACGCTCCAAATGGACATGAATGAAGTTTGAGCAGAGAACAGAGGATGGGAAAGGTGGAAATTAAACAGAAGATATTCCACCCCTATATGGCTTGAGGAGACCTATCTGACCTCCATGAATGGAAAGAAAGATGAACAGTTTTTGATTCCTCCATGCCAGGAAATGTGCTACATACCTTTCCATTTTATGTTCTCACACAATACCCTCCTCTGTCTTTAACAGATGAAGGAAACCGAGGCCTAGATGTCCTATAAATTTCCTATGATCATACAGTTAATAAGATTAAAAAAAAAGAAACTAATTGCCATCAAGTCGATTCCAACTCATGGAAACTCCACATGTCAGAGTAAAACTCTTCTCCACAGGGTTTTTCAATGACTGTTATCTTTCAGAAGTAGATTGCCAGGCCTTTCTTCTGGACGCTAACCTTTTGGTTAGTAGTGGACTATTTAACCATTTGCATCGTGGAGGAATTCCAAGTGGAGGTCTCCTTAATGTAGTCTTTCTACCACCATCTGCTACTTCTCCCAGTGTGGGAAGAGAAACTCTAGGCAGGATATTTTCCATTTAGGACTGCATAAGCCTCCCCTCAAGGAGCCCTGGTGGCACAATGGTTAACTGTTTGGTTGCTAACCGAAACGTTGGTGGTTTGAACTCACCAGCTGCTCCATGGGAGAAAGACATGGCAGTCTGCTTCTGTAAAGGTTACAGCCTTGGAAACCCTATGGGGCAGTTCTACTCTGTCCTACAGGGTCACTGTGAGTCAGAATCGACTTGATGGCAACAGATTCTGAAGCCTCCTCACACACATTGAAATGTTTTACTTAAAAAGAAACACTTAGCTTTAAATAACTGCATCCAATTTAGAGTTTTAAAAATAAACTGAATATAAGGAAACATTTAGTGTAGTTAAAAAGGAAGTTAGAGTAGAAGGGAAAGCAGGAAATGAAGTTGTTTTCCAGTCTTACAATACTTGATTCTTCTTTTGTGGGGCTTTGCCTGGGGAAACCAACCTCTCAGGAGACAGGTAATGAAGTATTGAGGAAGCTCATGACAAGAAAATTTTGCTGGTAAGGGGATTTATGCCATGCATTATGATAGCTAGAGCAGAGCTTTGGAAACAACGTACTTGTGAGTCATGACCTGAATAAGACCTTGTTCCCCCGGCACAGTTGCAGCTTGCTCAGGCTGCAAACACGCAGTGGTCTCAGTGCTCTGCACTCCCAGTAGGTAGGGGCACACGTCTGCATGGCCTTTGTACTCAAAATGCTCAGCTTCACAGAACACACACTGTAAAACACATGGAGAAAACGGGTCTCACGGGGAAGCTATTTCCATGCCCACCATGGCTCTGACAGGAGAGGGTGGGTGTCAACCCAGAAAAGTATCTTCATGTCGTATGCAGAATTGGAGGAACTTCTTTACCTTTAGGTTTATGAAAAACCCAAACCTGTCACCAAGCAGAAAAAATAACCCCATCCTCTCTGGATTTCAGGGCAGAGGAGAAAGAGCAAAATATCAATCCCAAGATTCCTTAGAAAACCAAAGAAACAAGAGTCTATATGAAACACCCTTCAAATGCTTAGCTGCATTTCCCTATAACTCCGATCAAGTACCGTTTTCTCCTCAGAAACATGGATGCCACAAGGCATTGGCATGACATATTTAAAGGGCTGAAAGAAAGAAAAAAAATAAAAACTGTCAACTAAGAATTCTGTCTCTGGCAAAACTGACCTTCAAAAATGAGAGTGAAATTAAGACATTCCCAGATAAACAAAAGCTGAGGGAGTTCGTTATCACAAGATCTGCCCTACAAGAAATTGCAAACGGAGTCCTTTAGATGGAAAAATAGGACACTAGATAACAGCAACTCAAAGCTGTATGAAAAAATAAAGATTTTCTGTAAAGGTGAGAGACAGACCAAAAGGAGAAATAATGTACTGTTGCAAAGGTCATTATAGTGATTTCATGGGTGATTGCTGGAACTCAGACATGAGAAAGCTTATTCAGCCCCAGAAGTGGAAACTTGCTAGGTGAGATAGGGCGACAGGAGGAAGAGAAGGCATCTGAGACAGAGAACAATGCACGAACAGAGCAGGACTCAAGCAAAACCATGGTACTGTAGCCATACTGACCAGCCAAGGGACACATGTGGGGATACAAAGCTGGGAAGCCTACAGAAGAGCTAGCTCGTTCAAGGATGGAGACATAGGCAGAATAGAAAGGAGAGAATATAGAGAGCTCCCACTTGCATTTTTTTCAGACCATACCAGTAGGTTGTGCAGACAGAAACGTTAACTAGAAATCACTGACTCTTGTATATCAAAACTTTCATAATGAAGAAAATCTGTATTACAAACGTTGAAGACATTTGGAAACTAAATGATTGAACTTTTCAACCTTTACACAGGGAGTCAGAGGTCTTATACTACACAGAGTATACGCACAGAGTAAAAATATTAACAGATAACAAAATTCTGAATAGATAGCATTATGCTTCTCATGCTATCGGAATGGAAGAACATATTCCATTCACTAAAGAACACAGTATTAAAAGATACGCAACTCGGTAAAAGTTGGAAGAACCTCTGGCAAATTGTTAAAAAAAAAAAATAATTAACCTGTTATAAGATTAAGCCTAGCTTTAATTCTCTTCATTTTGGCTTACTTGTATTTTCCATTTTTTTCTATGATAAATGTAGTTTCTCTTGGAAAGGGGAAATGGTTTTTTTTAAAAAAAAAAAAAAAACTCATTGCCGTCGAGTTGATTCTAACTCATAGTGACCCTATTGAACAGAGTAGAACTGCCCCATCGGGTTTCCAAGGAGCGCCTGGTGGATTTGAACTACCGTCCTTTTGGTTAGCAGCTGTAGCTCTTAACCACTCTGCCACTCTGCCAAAAGTAAGTCTAAAGAGAAAGTGCGTCGTGAATTAGAGATGTTTGCGTATAATTACAAATATACTACATTCAGTGAGCTAACATTTGTTCAGATGCAGAAGAAAAATTAAAACTCTGAGCTTGGAGAAGGAGAGGATTTGCAGTCCTGGAAGGGTACCAACCTGGATCGCAGAGGCATTTGTAGCTGGTGCCCACGCTGCGGCACGTGCCATGAGCACAGGGGCTGAGGGCGCAGAAGTCGACGAGTTGGCCGCAGGCTGGCCCTGTGAAGCCAGGGCTGCAGCTACAGCTGAAGTGCATGCCGTCTGCATGGCACGTCCCGTTGTTCTGGCAGGGGGACGACGCACAGGGGTCCACCTTCTCTTCACAGGTGGATCCCAAGTATCCTGGGAGAACACACACAAGGGATTTAAAAATCAAAATGTGTTTTCACATAACAACTAATAAAGTGAATCCACAGTGCTTAGCAGTTCTTCACTGTGAAAGAATTAACCAATTAATTCATGAATATAGTTTCCATACTCGCAATCCAACAAGCGTGGGGAAAACAAGTTTTTCTTAGTCTTGGTAACCTTGTGTTAAAGTATTAAGCCCTGTGATTCCATTTTGTTGAGATATAAAATATGTGAGTGCTTAGATGGACATGCATACATGGACGTAGATATATTTACATACATACATGTGTACGGGTATGGAGTCCCTGGGTGGTGCAGACTGTTAACGCGCTCAGCTGCTAACTGCAAGGTTGGAGGTTTGAGTCTACCCACAGGCGCCTTGGAAAAAAGGCACCTATGTCTGAAAAATCAGCCATTGAAAACTTTATGGAGGACAATTCTACTCTAGCACACATGGGGTTGCCATGAGTTGTTGATTCCGGGGGACCCGCTGAAGGACCAATGAAACAAAAAGAGGGCGGAGCCCAGGGAAACAACGTAACAGGAGTCAAAAACTCAAATGCCAGCAGGAGCCAGGCAGGTAACGTCCATGAGGAAGTGGGCCAGGTGTGAGACAACAGGGAGGGGCAGGGACTAGAACCAGGGAAGGCACGTCCCTTCTACATAGGATGGTTGCCACTCATTTGCAGCCAACTGCTGCCATTGGGAATGTGGGGCCAGTTAACAGACCTTCTGAATTTTCAAGAAAAACCTGAAATCCAGATGTTTGCTTGAACCTTTCGATATCTTAAAACATTGGGAGATCATTTCTCTGGCAAACAAATCAGATCTGCAGTCCCATATATGTGGCTTCTCTGTGTGATTGAAATGTTTAAGAGTACAGACTTTGGAGCCAATGAGAATAGTATCTGAATACAGTTTCTGCCACTGAACTGCCAGAAATGGGGCAAGTACTTAATCACTCTGACCTTCTGCTTCTGCATTCATGAAATGGAGATGTGAATGCCTTCAACATATGGACATTATGAGGCTTAAATGAGAACACTCATACCAAAACTTGGCACTGTGACTGGCCAAGTCACTAGTAAGCATTCAATAAAGAAGTAGCTATAATGATGATGTGATTCCCAAGTTCCAGATTTGGGAACTATGTGGATGGTCTTGTCATTAATTGCAATGGAAAACACAGGAGGAAGACCAGGTTTCCAGGGGACGATTATGAGCTCAGCTTTCAGCATGCTGAATTGAGGTGCTTTTGTGGTTGTCCAGCAGTCAGCTGGTTACGCAGACCTAGTGCTCAGGAGAGAGACGTGAACTGGAGAACAGGGATTGGGATCATATGCACATGGGTGAGAAATGAATTCATAGGAATAAGATGCTAACACTTGGGGCAAGCGAACAGAGTGAGAAGAAATTTGCAGATTGGAACTTTTGATAATGGTGATGTTTAGAAGCACAAAGAAGAGGAAGCAGAGAACATGCCTCACTGAGAGACTTCTCCACTGTAGTCTGCAGCATCCTGCTCTCTCTCTCACTCTCTTACAGCCTCTACCATACACTGGAGTTGGTATACTGTTCTGCCTCTGTTATGGATTGAATTGCATCCTCCCCCAAAATATATGTTGGAATCCTAATCCCTATAGCTGTGAATGAAATCCCAGTTGGGAATAGGGTTTTCTTTGTTATGTTAGTAAGGTCAAATCAGTGTAGGGTGTGCCCTAAATTTAATCACTCTGAGTTATAAAAGGAGCAGATTAGACAAAGAAGCAAGCAGACACAGGGGAAGACAGACACTATATGATGGTGATGGAGGCGAATAAATCTACAAGCCCAGGAACTCCAAGGACTGCCGGCTACTAGAAGCTGAAATACACAAGGACCTCCCCGCAAGCCACACCCTGTATTCAGACTTCCAGCCTCCTGAACTGTGAGAAAATAAATTTCTGTTCTTTAAAGCTATCCACTTGTGGCATTTCTGTCATAGCAGCAGTAAGTGACTAAGACAGGCTCCCCCATAACTGGTGTGTGATTTTCTTGGGAAATCACATGAGGGAATATAGTTTTTCTTTGTACTCATGGTGTCTAGCACAGAGACTAGAATATGGTAGACATTCATTGATGGATGAATGGATGGATGGATGGACAGATGGACAGATGGATGGATGGATACATTGCACGAGAGATAGGAAGGAAACCAGGACAGAAAGACGTCACTGAAAATAATAAAAGAGGGAAGGTCAAAGAGGGAGTTGTCAAAGAACGACACTGAACCCTGCCTAGAAGCCATATGAACAAGCCCAGGCTAGCTTTCTGGAAGATGAGAGACCATCAGAAGCAAAACAAGCCAGCCCTGCTGAGGCCATCCTAGACCTGTAAGCCAACAATCAACCTAAATGGTGACCAGCTGAACCCAGCCAAAACTGTCGAGCTACCTGGGTCATGAGCTAAATAAGTGGTTGTTGTTTTAACCACTAAGCTTTGGGGTGGTTTGATGTGCAGCAAATGGTAACTGCTACAATGCAACAAGAGATATAGGATTTTATCTAAATGGGAATGTAGGCAAAAAGCAAAGTTTTGTTTTGCTTTTCTTTATGGAAAAGACTTGAAAGCATAACATAATATACTAAAGGAAATGTTCACTAAAGAGAGGATCAATTAATGTTTGTTGAATATTGAAAAAGTTCACTGGTGTTGAACCAGGAACCCTGTGTTTTATTATTATTAACTTTTCTGATTTTCATACCAATTCAGGTAAATATCAAAGCAGGATGAGAATGGAACTAAGAATTTATATTTTTCAGTGTATGCTACTATACCTCAGTATATACTAAAGAGGAAGATACCTTCAACAAATTATCCAGCCTAAAAAATGTATAATGTAACATACAATGCTATTCTATTATAAAGGATGATAAAGCAAAAAATTCAAGGTATATATATTTAGATATATTTTGTGGAGATGCATGTGAAGTAGGGCAATTATGGACTCCTTTTCCTGACTCAGAAGATTATTAATTGCTGTTAGAAGAGAGGTTCACAGATGTAAATGCTGAGCCAATTTTCAAAGTGCTATTGCTTTGACCAGAAAATTCTCTATTTCCTTCTATTACTAAAGAACTGTTATCCTCTGATTCATATGCCATCCTTTCGTGAATGACTCACATCTTCTGCCACCTCCTAAATGACCTTCTTAAGAAAGAAAAGATCAAGGCTGTGTAACACAAAGAATGTAGAGCCAGAAAACCAAGTTTGGAACCCTCTCACGAGCTATATATCACCTACAAAATGGGGATGGCATCTACTGTGTAGGGTTAAATAAGATGGCACTTGGTACTCAATAAATGTTGGGCTCTAGGGAAATTTAAGTACACTCAGGGATGCCTCAGAAGAAAGGTCAGCCATTGCAAACTCTATGGAAGACAGAATATACTCAAGAGTCTGTGAATAGGGAAATTGGAAGGAAGCTGGCTTGTCAGCCAATCTTGGGTATACTATCAAACTTCACATTTACATAAATCCTTCAGAGTGGAGTCCCTGGATATATCTAAGAGGGAGCTTTCTGGAATCAGGAGGTGTTCTTATGCTGCTCTCTAAACATGGGCACAGTAGGGCAGGTGAATGGGGTGGGGGTCCTGAGGCAAACAGCTGTGGGAAGAAGTGGTAGTCAGGAGTAGAGGTGTCTCCAAGAACATTTGTGCTCAGGCTCAAAAGGACAGCCCGCTGAAATTGTGTCTGTTAGTAGCAAACACTTCTCCATACAAGGCACTATTTCAGTGTTTTAACTATATTAATTCATTTAACCCTCACATCAGCGCTAGGAGGTATGTACCATTGTTTCCCCATTTTCAGATGGGCAAACTGAGGCAGAGAAAAGTCAAGTAACTCCTCCAAGGTTAAGTGTCTAGAGATGGGGTCTGAACCCAGGCAGTCTGACTCTCAGGTTGAAGCTTCTAACTCTCTGCTGTAACAGTTAAGGTCTGAGGTGTAGTGGAAAGACCAAGAGTGGCAAAGTAGGTGCCCCAGTATCTGTCAGAACTCTGTCACTTAATGGCTATGTGTAGCACAACTGCTGGTGGTCCCTAATATATGTCTCCCAGTCTCCCACAGTAACAGGACCCCTATCCACATGGCTGCAGAGACTAAAGACTATGTTTCCCAGTCTCCTCCGAGGCTAGATGTAGTTCCGTGACTATGTTCTGGAAAATGGGATATAAGTAGAAATGTCCTGAGATTGCCTCTGAGAAGTTCCCTTAAAAGAGAATTGTCATGCACCCTTTGTGCTTTTACTATTTTACTCCATCCAGCCTATTGTCTGGACCACAGATTTGATGACCAATTGTTTTTTCTATTTTGGTGGAAAGCATCCACTCACAGTAAGGTGCTCAGTGGACCCAAGGAAGAATAAATTCAAAGAAAATAAACAGGTACATCCTAATCAAACTGATGAAAATCAAACATTTAAGAGAAAAATATTAAGAGGAACCAGAGGAAAAAGACGCAACACATACATGGAACGCTAATAAGAATGACAGATGACTTTGCATCAGGATCCATGGAGGTAAAAGGCGATGAGATCTATCTACTAGAATTCTATTTCCAGGGAAAAGAACATCAAACAACGAGGCTATATTAAGCTACTTTCTAATAAAGTATAGCTGAGGGAATCCATGGCCAGAAGATCTATCTACGTTAGTTATAGGGTTGTTGTTGTCACTAGTTGCCATCAAGTCAATTCTGACTCATGGTAACTCCACGTGTTACCGAGTAGAACTGCTCCATAGCGTTTTCTCGGCTGTAATCTTAATGGAAGTAGATTGCCAAGCCTTTTCTTCTGCCGTGCCATGGGGGGTTTGAACTGCCAACTTGTAGATTAGCAGTTGTCATGGTTTGAATTATGTCCCCCCAAAAATGTGCGTATCAATTTGGCTAGGCCACGATTCCTGGTACTGTGTGATTTTCCTGTATGTTGTAAACCTGCCTCTATGACGTTA